AAGGAAGCTGGTGTAAAACCTCTTGTTGCTTACTGTATCATGCATAAGGTTTCATATTTCAGATGAAGGAAGTGTAGCGAACTAACCTTAAATAAAACTCTGTAACAACGAGTATATAAATATGATTAACTGCGCCATCTGTGCCAACTACGGACGGGCGAGACATTACGTAGTCACCCACCTAACCAAATTAATAGTTGATTACTTGTTGACCAATCAGAAGTTCTGGTATAAACGCTTCCTTCCGCTCGCCTGAATTGTTTGGTCGTTTAATTTAGAACTAGAAACCTTTCATTGGGTTTTGCTCTTGTTGTTTAGGGGAAGCATGAGAAGTATATAATGAAATGCAATGCCAAATATTGTTTATGTTCTAATTTAAAATCTGAGAAAATATCTGCAACATTTCCAACAAATAAGAATAAACATTAAGAATATGTGAGAAGATGCTGGTCGTAACTGCTGTGGTGCTTCAAGAATAGGTGATCAGAACTTCATTTCATGGTTTCCGAACAGTAACGATAGTCGTGTGATTTGTCAGGTGTTTCACTGAGCATATTGAATACCGTAACTAATAGACAAACAACATGTGTGTGGTGACGCCTCCAACGCTACACACACCAATGATGAAGAAGAGGGGGTGGGGATTAATGTAATGGTAATCACAAATGTAACTAAGAATTATAATTATTAAAAAGTAGTTTAGTTTACCTAATCCTAAAGTTATTGATGCTACAGGTACTAGCAGTACAATAAAAACGCAAACAGAAGACGCAATAGCAGACGATACTCACAGAATGATGCGTTAAACGAGCGTCATTATCGGCCAGCAAGCTAGAGAACAAACAACTCCTTTACCAGAAGAATGGCCGACTGTCACCATTGTTACATCAAATGATTCTGACATAAACAGCTGAGATGAATGTCTTTTGTAACACCTAATGACTAAATCTTGAGCGAAAACCATCAATGGCTGAGCCCCACGTGGAGACCCCAAAATCGATAAGGTTCATCAAGAGTGTCTAAAGAATTTAATGTATGAAGTTTGGTTGTAATGTGCCAACACAATTTTATTTACTGTTCCCACCATCATATAGTTACAGTAAGAGAATAAGCGGGTGGATGTACAGCACCTTAACTATATTCTTCAACATTTAAAGTTCTAGATAGAAAACGAAAAGCTTCTTAGTTAACTGCCAGTGCGAAATGAAAAGCTTAGCTTATTACTGCCATTAATCCGTGATTCTCCAGCCATTGAAGTGAAAAATCACATCAGCTGCTGACCACCACGTCATGTTCCTGGGGAAAGGAAAAGTAACTCACAGTGTTCACTTACTCAAAAATATTTCGGATTAGTATTTTTTTTTCCGAGGTTGCTGCTACCTTACCCCCGGAGGTGGGATACAGTACAGTTGTCTAATAGTTGTACTTTTTTACCCCACGAATATTGAGTGTACGTAACTTTATAACGTAACATAATATTTATTTTCTCCTGTTCGTAAAGACACAGTGCCCTTTACTTTCGAATTTACACTGACTCCTTCATTGTCCACAAACACCCACTAAAGCTGTTAAGAAAATATCGAGTAAATCCCTTCACAATTGACTTTCATCCACACGAGATATTATATACTATATCAGTTGTATGATGGTAAGGCAACAATTGTGGGTATAAGGAAAACGTAAAATTATAAGGTAATTTACGTGTTTACAACAATACATTAAAGCTTCATCAATCATAAATCCTCGTGGCACTGATGCATTATGTGTGACTGAATTCAAGATACTTAATTGGATCTTATAATTTAACATAGAATGGATTGTTTAATATGTTTATATTCTATGTTAAATTGTTTATGTGATATCGCCAAAGATATTTAATAATCGCATATAGTGAATTAATTTTTGTATCTGGAACATTTTCAAATAACAGGAAATACTCGAGGAAAAAGAAAAATTTCGAACTGTATTTAGTTGAGGATGTGAAATGACTGTTAAATAAGACGACAAACTAGTAAATGTTTTAAAGGCAGACTAATAATGAGTTTTGGGTGGTTGTTGTAGCACAAATATTCGAGTTACTCGGGGAACACAAATAACTGTGCTGGTATGTACTGCTTACTGATAGTACACAGGAATGCATGGCTGCTTGTTTCGTTCTACTGCATACGAGAATGAAAGATATGAAAACAAGTTCACTTAGTTACTTTATACCTCTCTCTCTCTCTCTCTCTCTCTCTCTCTCTCTCTCTCTCTCTATTTATATATGTATAAAAAATGCTCAAAATTAATTCTGACATTACCATTTCACTAACCGTTTTCGTCGCACTGATTCAAAACACAAACAAAGAAAAACAAAAACACTCTTAATGTTTAAAAAAAAATCTTGAGTTTAAGAAGACCTAAAACTACCACTTTACAACTCTCTAATGAAAACAAAATGAAATTCCTCAAAATATACAGTAGTGTTTGACTCTACATAGCGGCAGCAACACCGTTATGCTATTATATTTCCTCACACACATTAAGCCTGATAGGTTATATATATGAAGATAATAGATATAGAGTCAAATTGTTCTACCAACACACTATTTATAATCATAATTAGAGAAATAATTGAAATAAATCGAAAATAGTTGTGTTTCCCCGGAAGTAATACTCAGAGACTAACAGCGGAAAACGATGAATATATAAACGATTTTTTTCCCCTTGAGATGCCGCGTGGCTGGTCGTGACGTGCCTCTGTATGTTTCCTTAAGTAGTCCAGATAACAGTGGCCTCAGTTGTCTTCTGTTGTTGTTGTTGTCTTAATAGAACAGGGTCCCTCGGGTCCTCCTACAACAGGGTCCCTCGGGTGTTAAGTGGTCGTCCTACAACAGGGTCCCTCGGGTGTTTAGTGGTCGTCCTACAACAGGGTCCCTCGGGTGTTTAGTGGTCGTCCTACAACAGGGTCCCTCGGGTGTTTAGTGGTCCTCCTACAACAGGGTCCCTCGGGTGTTTAGTGGTCCTCCTACAACAGGGTCCCTCGGGTGTTTAGTGGTCCTCCTACAACAGGGTCCTCGGGTGTTTAGTGGTCCTCCTACAACAGGGTCCCTCGGGTGTTTAGTGGTCCTCCTACAACAGGGTCCCTCGGGTGTTTAGTGGTCGTCCTACAACAGGGTCCCTCGGGTGTTTAGTGGTCCTCCTACAGCAGGGCCTCGGGTGTCTGTTAGTCCCCCAGCAATATGGTCGTCGGGCGCCTACTGAGAACTGCTCCCTCCCTACAACAAGTCTCTCGGGGGTAATATGGAGGGAGATTATATAGGTTTATGGTGGGCAGCGTGAGGCAGGGAGGTCGACCTTCCCCTATAAACCCCCTTTGTTAGTCAGAGGAAGGTCGACCATTGTGTCGTAATGGTGCTTCACACGACAGGTGGATAAACAACTGTGCAGGTAATGGATGTCAAGTTAATTAACCGTGAGTGGAGAATGTTCCTTATTTCTTAATAGCTGTCACGAATAGCTTGAATTTGTATTTGAATCTGATGCGAATATATATATATATATATATATATATATATATATATATATATATATATATATATATATATATATATATATATATATATATATATATATATATATATATATATTCTGAGTATTTTAAGTGAGCTATCGGTGATATACAATAATTTAACATTAAATGGAGTTACGGCGATTATCATAACGATTAGAGTTGAGAACTTCAGAAAATTGAAACATTATTCTACTTATCAACTGATAATTAGAAACTCCATTGTTTAGTTCGATTCGTTCAACCTGCTGATGTAATCTATGCTGTAAACTTTTGTGTTGTAAACCATCCTAAGTAAAAATGTAGTTCTTAAAAGTACATTACGTAAAGTCCATTTTCTATCACCGAAAACTAGAAATAATCTGACCACTTCCTGTACATCCCCGTTGACGCTTGGAAGTAACATCTAAGCGCTATTATAAACACCTACAGATTCGGAACATCCAGCCTCTCCATCCCCTTGACATGACGCAAGTCCACTGAACAGTTATCATCACCGGAGTGTGTACTGGGTCACCACTCGAGGAATGTGTGTTCATTACTACAAGTGTATTCATTTAAAAACTCTTCCACCATAATATATAAAACGTAATTAAAAATTTGGTCATTGATTTTTGTTGAGCTACACGTGTACGAATGACCAATATATAAAAGAACATCAACATGCGCTTAATGTAGATTCAAATTAAAAAAAAAATGCTCAGCCAAGTGTGACAAGTGACTGGCAGTATGTCAAAACTTGGCATCAGGTTAATGAAGGATGTGAAGCCGCAGAGGCAGACTGACGGAGAATCCCACACAAGTTACACATTGAGAGCCACCAACCACGTTCTTTTGATTCTTAATTGGAATTTTAATTAATTCGGTGGCATTTGTGAGCCATTTACAATTAATAATTTTAAATGGTATTAAACTGGTCTTGTGTGGACCCAACAGCGACGAAAGCCAAAGAGGAATTTTCATCATGGCGACAATCAGTGACTTAGGATTTATTAGCTTAATTCATCTGACTCATGACCACATCCCGGGTGATTCATTCAGCTGATCCAACAAAAAACTCATCCTTCATCCTATTATCATTCATCCTCTCAAGGCTCACCTCCTTCTAGAAGAATTGTCCCTCATGAGTTATCTTACACGGTCATTCATCACCAGTGAATCATTTCTCAAATCATTTGAATTATCATGAGTTGCGGTGACAATATCTCATTCTAGGAGAGTAACCCCCGACAATCATTCATGGTAAGTTAACTCATTTCCTCAGTTAATGTATTCACCCCTAATGACTCAGACCTACCAGTCTCCCACGTACTATGAATTGTTCCCCAAATTCACTCTCACAGTAAATCTTTTCTCCTTATAATACTCCCCAAGGATTCATCCCCAGCGACTCATATCCTTAAGGACTTCTTCTACCCGAGTCCCCAGCAGCGCCCCATCAGTGACTTACCTTGGGGTGTTCTCTGACGGGCACCAGGACCTTGACGGTGACCCGGATGGGCCGTTCCCTGATCACATCTAGGTAGCGAGGGTCACCACGGCGTGTCGTCCCCGTGCCTCCGCTGCCTCCACGACCATCTGTGGGAGATAAATGTTGGGTGTTAACATCTGTGAGAGGCAGGTGGTGAGTGTTAACATCTGTGGGAGGCAGGTGGTGAGTGTTAACATCTGTGGGAGGCAGGTGGTGAGTGTTAACATCTGTGGGAGGCAGGTGGTGAGTGTTAACATCTGTGGGAGGCAGGTGGTGAGTGTTAACATCTGTGAGAGGCAGGTGGTGAGTGTTAACATCTGTGGGAGGTGCAGGTGGTGAGAGTGTTAACATCTAGGAGGCAGGTGGTGAGTGTTAACATCTGTGGGAGGCAGGTGGTGAGTGTTAACATCTAGGAGGGCAGGTGGTGAGTGTTAACATCTGTGGGAGGCAGGTGGTGAGTGTTAACATCTGTGGGAGATAAATGTTGGGTGTTAACATCTGTGAGAGGCAGGTGGTGAGTGTTAACATCTGTGGGAGGCAGGTGGTGAGTGTTAACATTCAGGGGAGTGCAGGTGGTGGGTGCTAACATCTGTGGGAGGCAGGGTGTTGGGTGTTAACATCTGTGGGAGGCAGGTGGTGAGTGTTAACATCTGTGGGAGGCAGTTGGTGGGTGTTAACATCTGTGGGAGGCAGGTGGTGAGTGTTAACATCTGTGGGAGGCAGGTGGTGAGTGTTAACATCTGTGGGAGGCAGGTGGTGAGTGTTAACATCTGTGGGAGGCAGGTGGTGGGTGTTAACATCTGTGGGAGGCAGGTGGTGGGTGTTAACATCTGTGGGAGGCAAGTGGTGAGTGTTAACATCTGTGGGAGGCAGGTGGTGAGTGTTAACATTCAGGAGGCAGGTGGTGAGTGTTAACATCTGTGGGAGGCAGGTGGTGAGTGTTAACATCTGTGGGAGGCAGGTGGTGAGGTTAACATCTGTGGGAGGTAGGCCAGGTGTTAACATCTGTGGGAGGCAGGTAGAGTGTTAACATCTGTGGGAGGTGGTGAGTGTTAACATCTGTGGGAGGCAGGTGGTGAGTGTTAACATCTGTGGGAGGCAGGTGGTGAGTGTTAACATCTGTGGGAGGCAGGTGGTGAGTGCTAACATCTGTGGGAGGCAGGTGGTGAATGTTAACATCTGTGGAAGGATGGATGAAAATATGTGTTGTCAGTGAGAGGAAAAAAGAAACTCACACTAATTTTGAGAGAGAGAGAGAGAGAGAGAGAGAGAGACTAACCTAGTATAGGCAGTGGATATTTAAGTACACGTAGATAAATTATTGTAAACAAATTAAATGAATTAATAAATTTTTACTATATTTTAACCCTTTGTAGGGAGGAGGTTTCTTTCAGCTGAATAAAATTGTCTGACGTTAACCAGCCAGAATAAAGTACCAGCATGCCCCACTGAGCTCTACATGGTTACAGGGCATTATACCTTTTTTAATAGATGAATTATTATTTTTCTATCATTATAAAGATTCATGAACTAACAATTCAGTACGTAAAATACATATTAAATTCTTCTCTTAGACGAAAAGAGAAATCCCCCAAACACCCTCAGACGAGAAGAAGAATGTCTTATGCACTGAGAGAGAAAAAAATCAGGTTTTGATCTCACTGAGGTTTTGTTTTTGGGGTGTGTGAACTGGGAAGCGACGGAAATGGAGTGTGATGGAGTGGCCGGCGCCGCCTGCTGCAGGATGTCTCTATGATGGAGACGCCCATCGTAGCCCCAGTGTTGACATCTCCAGTAGGAGCGGGACCAAAATGGGAAGGAAGAGTAGGGGAGGGGGGGGAACTGTGGACGAAACGGTGGTAGAACGAAGTGAGTGATGGATGGAGAAGTTAACAGGAGGTGGAGGAGGAGGAGAAGGAGGCGGTGGAGGAGGAGGAGAAGGAGGAGGGGAGGAGGAGAGGATAACCCTGGTGGATCAGAAGTGAAGGATGGAAGAGCGTAAAGGGAAGAGGAAGACGACACTGATGGATGGGATGGAAATGGGAGGGAAAGAGAAATGGGTAAGTGTAAGAATAAGGGAGGGACAGGAGAGCAAGCGAGGAAGGGAGGGGAGGGGTACAAGAGTGGAGAGCTGAGGTCAGGGGAGGTACTGAGGTAGAGAGCGAGCAGGTCATACTTATAAGAGTGTAACTTACTGGACGAGGACTAAAACCACAGAGATAAGGAGAGTGATCACTTGCTGGATGAAAGACAGAGAGAGAGAGAGAGAGAGATTCTACACCCACAACAACGAACTCAAACAATTTAATTATATAGGTGGACGTCAGAATGTGTCTTCATCCTTGTGTCTGTGTGAGTGTCCGACATTGTGAAAGTAATAACTTGAAGAAATATCACAAACAAACTGTTATAAGAACGAAATAATCAATATTTTTCCGGCATTACCCTCTAGAGTACTGCATATGGCAATCTCCATTTGGCCAACACTTGTTCACAATACTGCCATGACGTTCAGACGGCTAATTCACATTGTTATTGCTATTGTTAATGTCCATGAATGTTATTTTTTTTTTGTATCATTCAAATAAAAATGTGGAAAGGGCAGATAGTATTACTTCTCGTTCACCCACCTGAATTTATATATACAAGTTATCTTTCCTCTACACATTGGTATACAGTTGTGACATTAAACATAATATATCATCATTACGTCACTATTACTTCACTTTAACCAATATTTCTCCACTTGTTGATATTGGTCGAGGTTTTGATAAATCTTTAGGAAACTCTTTTGATCTTTATACATTCTAGGTAGTAATCTTTCTTTACTCTTTGTTCTTTATAGGTCATTTGGGTTTTTTTACCTTCCTTATTTCTTTGTAAAAACGACCCACCTCACATACAGACATTATTTATTAATGAAAAATATGGACAAGTAGTCACAAATGTTCATCTACATCATGCATGTCTACGAGTACTGCAGCATTTCATTAATAATAATCGATCATGGGACACATTCTGGCACTTGTCAATCTTGGTTAGTTTTTTTTTTATTGACCTATCGATTAAGTATTTATTAACCTTTGCTGTGGGATCATTTCAGAGGTGGTTAAAGCCTTATGGTCTGTGTTCAAAGTATGGAGTAAACTTATGCTATGGAGAATAAGTCTATAGATTCAGCCTTTGCTTCTCATATAATAACAGGATCCGGATTTAGATAACACGATTTTTACTTTGATAACCTGTATTTATATAACATGACCATTTTATATGATAACACGACCCACCTATTCTCACATCCGGCAAAAACTAATTATGTAATGCATTAGTAAACGCTTGAGTAATTTAGTCTCTCGTTGACGGAAATTGAGTATTTGAGACCCAATCTAAATTACTGCAAGAGGTGAAGAGGGGAAGAGAGAGAAAGAGAACAAGGAGAACAGAGGGATTAGAGAGTAAGGGAAAAATATAGACAAAAATAAATAATAAAAGGATGGAAATGAGAGAGAGAGAGAGAGAGAGAGAGAGAGAGAGAGAGAGAGAGAGAGAGAGGTAATTTGTTGATGATGGCTATGTTGTTGTTGTGTTGATGATTGTATGTTATTGTTGTTATAGTTGTTGTTGATGGTTGTGTTGTGTTGCTGCTGTTGAGGTCGTCGTTGCTGTTGTTGTTGATGATGGCTGTTGTTGTTGTTGTTGTTGTTGGCATTGATGGTTGCGTTGTTGTTGTTACTGCCGATGGGAAATTGTTGCTGTTGTTAATGATGGTTGTGTTGTTGTTATTGCTGTTGCTGATTTTGTCATTGCTATCGATGGCTGTGCTGCTATGGCATGTTCGTTGATGATGGTCAACATGCTGTTGTTGTTGGTTGTGCTGTTGCTGATGATGGTTGTGCTGTTGCTATTGGTCAGGCTGTTGTTGATGATGGCTGCCGTTGTTGTTGTGCTGCTTGTTACATGATGGTTGTGTTGTTGTTATTGGTTGTGTTGTTGTTGATGATGGCTGTGCTGTTGTTATTGGTCAGTTGTTGTTGTTGATGCATTAAAAGGTTGCTATTGGTTGCGTTGTTGCTGATGATGGTTGTGTTGTTGTTATTGGTTGTGTTGTTGTTGATGATGGTTGTGTTGTTGTTATTGGTTGTGTTGTTGTTGATGATGGTTGTGTTGTTATTACGAGTATTATTGATGATTCTTCTTTCACTACCACTGTCCAGTAAGAGTCGGCCAAATTGTTCATACCTTTCATCACTTTGTTTCCATTCCCTCATTCATTAAATTATCTCCTCCCCTCTTGGGTTTACCTGAGTACTAATGACTCACAGGTAACCCATTATCGTGTATTCGTACTGTATATCGTCTCTTAATGACCCCGTTAATGGCTCTTAATTGTGATGCAATTAATATCTCCGTAGTGGTAATTATGGGAATGGTACTATTTAATATCGTTATCTGTGTGTGTGTGTGTGTGTGTGTGTGTGTGTGTGTGTGTTACGGATATTACAGTCGGCGATACCGCTGCTGAGACCTGTTGATGAGGTCAATTTGTTTTTCTTCCTTTTAATTGATGTTTTTTTTATAAATTCTTAAACCTGAGATGAAATTTGCATATTAAAATGTATTCATGTTACTGTTGGCAATATTCTGTTATGCCTTGTTATTGGAGGAGCGAGGCTGTCGTTCAAAGAGGAGGTTATATTGGCCACACCAATATTAAACTCTGTAATATATAAGGTCCTTGTGGGTCGCTCTACACAACTGGGTGACTGATATGTTATGATTTATTATAGTTCCTCCTGTAGTATATGAGATGCAGATTAGCTTGAATTATTCACTATCAATAATTAACAGTACATCTCATTTGATTATCATTAGTAATCATACGAATAAAACGAAAACCATGTAATTAAAAATCTGATGTTACAGAGTGTGAATTAATTTACTTCATCACACGTAGAAAAAAAATGATGTCCGTCGCAGCTCCACCTAAGATAAATTTCAATTTCACTCTCAAGTTCTTTAGTCACAAAATATACTCTGACGTTCACACATCTGCCCTACCGTTGTTACTTGGTATGTAAATACACCTCAGAAGCTCATGACTAGGGCCACATCAGCTATCAGCCCAAATGGTCCTTAAAATTGCCTCCCATTCAGTACGGTGGAGACGAGAAACTCCTACAAATTTTCCCTAACGCGTGATTCATCTTCCTCTTAAATCTGAAAGCTTCCTATCCCACGTTTGCATGCCACCTATAAACTCAACCTTATTACAGGGCGCCCTAGAGGTTGACCCGGGGGGAAAAAAGAAAGCAGTGTGTTTAATGTTTCACAGGAGACCACTTGCCCGCCACCTGGAGGTGTTTTGGCTCGCAGACAGACGAGGCCCATTTAGATTCGCCAGGACAGGGTAGCAACAGGGTGGGAGGAGGTGTAGCAGGGAGGCGCTAGGAGACAGAGCAGCGGGGCGGGAGGAGACGGTGAAATTGGGCGGAAGGAGGAGACGGTATTAATGGGACGGGAGGAGACGGGAGCAACGGAGAGGGAAGAGATGGGGCAACGGGGCGGGAGGAGACGGTATCAACGGGGCGGGAGGAGACGAAGCCAACTTGTTTACTGGCTCAAGTGTAAGAGTCACCTACTTGAGTGTTGGTGCTGGTGGGGAGGAAGTGTTGATGCTGGTGGGGAGGAAGTGTTGATGATGGTGGGGAGGAAGTATGATGCTGGTGGGGAGGAAGCAAGATGACAGGGGAGGAAGGATGATGGTAAGGAGGAAGTGTTGATGCTGGTGGGGAGGAAGTGTTGATGCTGGTGGGGAGGAAGTGTTGATGATGGTGGGGAGGAAGTGTTGATGCTGGTGGGGAGGAAGTGATAATTGAGGGTGATGATGGTGAGGGATGAAGGACGGCAGTTGATGTCAAAAGGGGGAGTGAAGTATTAAATGATGTGGACCTTGATGAATGAGCACACGGAAGCTCTGGTGCAGGAGAACGATGATGATGATGATGATGATGATGATGATGATGATGATATGAGAAAAGAATAGTAATGATGATGATGATGATGTGAGGAAAGAATAGTAATGATGATGATAATGAAATTAGTTTTATGGTATGGCAACAGAAAAAGAATAATAATGAAGGGGGATAATGATAATGATAATGATGACAATGATAATGAAATAAATGAAGATAGTTTATATAGTAATAGTAAACGAAAATAATAATAATGTAGAAGGAGATAAACAGGGAAACGATAAAAACAAGGAGAAGACAAGGAGAGAAAATATATTAGGAGATGAAAGAAAATATGATTAAATTAACAGAGAGAGAGAGAGAGAGAGAGAGAGAGAGAGAGAGAGAGAGAGAGAGAGAGAGAGAGAGAGAGAGAGAGAGAGAGAGAGAGAGAGCCGGAAATTAAAGAGGAAATAGCTGGTAAAAAGATTGCAGGGCTAAAAATAAATCACAAAGAGTCATGAAAACAAAAAAAAACATGAATATTAAGTAAAAAAACAACAACTAAACAATAATAAGAAGAATAAAACAAGAAGATCCTCAATCATGATAAAACACAAAGACAAACAAGATAAGAAAATAAATCAGGGAATGAGGGAAAAAAATAAATAGCGAAAAGGAACTTCATAAAGATAATAATATTTAGTGAGTCAGAGAAAGATTCCCATCATCAAATGGAAAAATATAGACATGAAAACGGAATCTTTGTCCAGCTAGAGACTTACCTGTGAGGGCGCGGGTCAAAAGCGGCTAATGATGCCTCCCAGCGTGAGTAATAGACAAACCCGGGAATAAAAGGAACGGAACCATCGCACTTAGGGAACAAAGGGGCGACTTGACTCGTCATAACAAGGGGAAAAAGTCATCGTTAACGTTGGTGTAATAGCCCGTGGGGTGGGTGAGGGCTGGAGAGAGAGAGAGAGAGAGAGAGAGAGAGAGAGAGAGAGAGAGAGATTAGAAAGCCAAAGGAAACCATGAAACAAATTTTTAAAAATCTTAGAAGATCAAGGAAGAAAAATAACAAAAATATATTCAAAAGATTCTTCAAGTTGGAATGAATAAACCCTCAGCCAAGAACAGATAATAGAACAGTTGCTGAATACCCCACCCCCACCATAGATTCACTTCTCTTGGCAGCCTGAGACTATCCCGGTAACGAAACGAACAGAGAAGTCACATAGCCTGAGTAACTCTAAGTATATAATAAAGGTATACTGTATATGATTTTAAACCATTCGACGATACACACATGACACAACAACTCCTCAAGTGAACGACTATTTATCATCGCACCCAGCTTCACTAGTTCACTTCTTTAGGTTAAGTACTTTACAGAATTGTGTTTCCCTCTGACGTCGTGGGTCTCTTTCGCTAAACACAGTCTGGAGAACTCACACAAACGTTATGAAACATTCTTTCCTCATTACCAGGGGCCCAGCCTCGGCCTCACGCACTTGTGACTGTA